GGCTAAGAGCATCTAACATTCATCATTTCAAAGGTATTTCGAAGTTTCTTGATTTTCATGTTTGAGTTTTTAGAAAATTTCCTTTTCTTTGAATTGGTTTAGTGTTGTTTGCTAGGGGTTAGGATAAATTTTTATAAGTATCTAAATATTAGGGAAAATTTCTAGATTTGATATTATCTAAAGAGATTTTCATCTTCTATTTATTGATAATTTTTAGAAAATCCCATAAAATCTAGGATTTATGTTTAGAGTTTTTCTCTCTTGCCTTGTTTTCATCTCTTAATCGCCGCCTATACTCATCTTCTCTTTGAGAACTTGTGTTTCAGGTACCATAGCACCCAAGAGAAGCAGAGATTTGGCAACTCAAGGGGAAGAAACTCAGCAAGTGGTTGCAGAAAGGGTTAGATGGAGCAAAGAGGAGAAGAAGGCTAAAAAGAGGCTTGAGAGGCTGCGGTTTGAACCTACGAAGTTTGCGAGTAGGGACCTCTTGGAAAGGCTAGGCTTGTTGGAGGATTTTGACAAGCTGCTCAAGGACATCGGGCTTGCGTGCCTATCACGGATGGACTGCCCTACTTACCCCGAGGCAACGCTGGACTTCCTCTCAACCTTGGACTTCTCTTATGAAGATCCAAGCATTTAAGCTCCCTCCAAAGGTCACCTCACGTTCAAGATCAGGAGGCAAGCTTACCACCACTCCATCACCGAGCTATGCCAAGCCTACGGTCTCAATGCTGCGGCCAAGCTTGTAGAGTTCCCTCCGCTCAAATCCGCCAACTTTCTATGAGACTTGATCAGCGATGATGACTACAAAGCCAACACCGCCAAGATCAAGAAGGTTCGCAAACCTGTGCTGAGATACGCCCTCAAACTCCTAGCCAACACCTTCAGTGGGAGATCTGTGGCTCCAACGGTTACCAAGAATGAGTTGTGCTTCCTCTTCCAAGGGATTAAGAAGGTTCCGTGCGATGCTGAAGAGAGTGATGAGCCGATGGAGGATGAACTTGGCGACGACGTCAACTATGGTTGTATCTTGGCCTCTTCTTTGGTCAAGTACAAAGCGTGGGCGTTGAGGTGTAAAGCGAGCTCTGCACTCATAGGAGGCTTCCTTACACCGTTATTCACACAAGCCGGAGTACCTCTTCAGGAGTTTGAGCCTTGCGCGGAGAGAGCTTACATGGATGAGACCTACATGCGCAACACTGATTCCTTGGGACCTATTCCAGCTCCAGGGTATTTTGCCTACTTGTTCTACAACCCCACCCTTGGGAAGCAAGTATGCATCCTCCCCAACCAAGACGAGACGAACCTGGACAGCGTTGGGACCATAGAGTTTTTGCCAAGCAATGAAGAATGCTTTGCGCCTCTTGGAGGCACGGCTGCACCACCTCAGCTCGCTCGTCCACCTTCAGAGTTGCCTCCTTCAGATGCTGAGATGCCGCCAAGCTTTGATCTCCCCAAGCTAGACTATGAGCCGCGTACTAAGGCTGAGAAGTTCCTTGCTTCAGTGGTTGAGATTCAGCGCAAAGTCAACAAGTGGCAAGGCAAGATGATCAAGAAGCTAGCTAAGAATATCAAAGACCTACAGAGAAGCTCATCTGAGGCGTCTTCAAGTGAAGAGGTTGAGCAACCCGAGAAGAGAAGAAGATCAACCGGAGGTATAGAGATCAGTGAGCCTCAAGGAAGCAATCAAGCTGGACGTCTTTCTCTCCATGAAGGCACGAGCAAAAACAAAGACAAGGAAATCACCTACGACACTCCTAGAAAGAGCAGGAGGACTGGAGCATCCTCAAGCTCTAGTCATGCCTAGCTCCAAGGTACCAACTCAACCATTGTAAATATCATGCATTTTTTTCTTATTTTTGCTTTGTGTTTGAACTCCTCTTGAATTTGTTTGCCACCGAGACGGTGGCATTCAAGTTTGGGGGAGAGTGTGTGCTTTGACATGTTTTATTTGGATCTTATTTTGTGTTAGCATCCCTGAGTCATCATGCATCATCTAAATGCATAGAAAAATACAAAAAAAAATCATAAAATTTTTCAAAAATTTCAAAAAAAATCATGTAGCTTGCATTTGCATTGTCAAATGTTTTAGGATTGATTCTAGAATTTTTATCATTTAGGTTGCTTGCATTTGCATAAGGGGCATAAAGTTTTTCTTGAAAAGTGTTTTAAGCTCATGAATTGGTTCAAGGCCCTAGTTAGTAGTTCTTTGATGCATTGTGCAAACTTTGAAAGTAAGCTCTAACCATATTTGGATCATTTGTTTTGATTTTCGTGGCTTAAGTTGAACATTCATGAATTGAATCCTTTCCTATCAAGTAGAACCTTAACTTGACTTTTTAATTATCATACTTGTGCATTTGAAAAAGAATACATGGATCACATATACATATTTAGGCTTTCTTATTCCCTTATTACCACTCTCTTGTAAGCCTAAATAGAATTCCTCACCTTTACCCTTACCCTCCTTTCAAGCCAATTTCGTGTGTGACATTTTTGCGAGGCCTTATTTTCGGTTGAACTTGGCATAAAGTGTTACGTTTAGGCAACATGATTAGGCTCTCATATTGATGCTAGTTTTGCATATTGAAGCTAGTTTTAGGCTTAAGGTTAGGATGGGGATTCATGGGTGTTGATGATTTGCTTACTTGTTTCGGTTTAAAAAGAGGTTGATGTTGGGAATTTGAATTAAAAGGGTTTCATAGTTTTAAGTGGGTGGTCTTGAAATGTTTTGTATAAAAGCTCTAGTTTAAAAGAAAAAAAAAGAGATAGCTCTCAAAAAAAAAATGAAAAGAGTCAAAAGGCCAAATGTTTAAAGAAAAGAAAAAAATATTTGAGAAGAGAGCTGTCAAAATAAAAATAAAAAGAGCTAAGTTTATGTATAAGACCATCCCACTAGCTATAAGAAAGGTTGAGATTTGTGTTTATTTGGGTAATGCTTGGCATCTTGCCTTGTTCTTTATGGGTAGTCTATAGAGGGTGAGTGAGCTTGAAAAGAAAAAGAAGAAAAAATAATGAGACAGGGTTTAGGATCATTGTTAGTGTATATGGGTAGATGGGAGTCTAGTCATGTATGCATCAATTGCCTTTACCTTTAGCATTATGCATAAGTTCAATCATTTCTTTGAGATAAACCATTGCTTGGAGTACCCATATAAGTGAGATCATTTTTATCTCATAACCTTTGTCCCTAAGCCAAATGTATTCGGTTTTAAAATGAATAAGTGTGATTCACGGTTTAATCTTAATGAATGTTAAAGGTTAGGATTCTTGGATTGTTTGGAATATGAGAGTCATGATTTGAGATTCAACATGTGATGAATATGGCTAAGTTCTTTGGAGTATGAGTTTATGTGTTGCATCTTAGGATTAAGAACTAGGACCATTGAATTGATTCATTTGAAAAACACTTTTGCAAGAAATTTGAGCTCCCACTTTTAAACATCTCTTCCTTTCTTGAATTTTGTTTGCTTGAGGGCAAGCAAAAGGCAAGTTTGGAGGAGTTGATATACTCATATATTTCGCATATTTAGCATGCATTTAGAGTAGTTTTCATGTATTCATCTTACATAATAGGCTAGGTTTGCACCATTTGTCTCATTTTAGGTCATAAGTGCACTTTGCATTAGCATTTGCATATTTCTTGCATTCTTGCATCATATTCAGGTTGTTTTGGATACACTGGAGATATGGAGAGTGCGTGGACATGCTAAGGATTGAGAGGGAGCTTGTGGACACTTGGGAGAACTCAGCCATTCAGCAAAGGAACCGAGATCGAGGCGAAGATCGAGCTAGGCAGGTCGATCTAGACGAGATTGACCAGAAGATCGAGACACTCAGGTTGTTTCAAGGATGAGGATCGAAGTCAAGATCGACCAAGGTGATCGATCATGAGTACGGACGTGGACTAAGCCATGCAGAACGAGAGCCAGATCGAGTTTACGACTCGATCATCCGAGGATCGACTAGGAGATTGATAGAAGCACTCGATCCATCCGACCGAATCGACCCAATGATCGAGCAAAAGAAGACGATCTAGCTGGGAGATCGAGTGATCATATCGACGACTCAGCTCGATCTCAGAACCTTATTCGGACAGCTCACTTTTGGATTTTAGTGAGGGGACCATTTTCTTGTTTACCCTTTTTTGGGATCGGGAGAGAACAATACATATTGTCCCCCTCTTGTTTTAGTTTTCTAGCTTATCTTTATGTTTTAGTCGCCATTGTTCTTGGTTTTTAGCTTTTGACATTTGTGAACCTTAATCTTGCTTAATCTTAAGTATTTTTCCATTAATCTTCTTGCTTACTAGTTTAATCATGTTTAGCTTTTCATCCTTTGCATTTTCATCTGTTTTAAGCATGCGTAGTGAGTAGTCTTTCATGGGTTTAAGGTTGAGGTGATTAAGAGGGTTTAAGGGGTTTAAGCTTGGGACTTTTCTTGTTCTTAACTCATTCTCTACTTAGATTTGGGGGTTTTAATGCCTACAGAGTCTTGAGAAAGTTCTCTTTGATCTCAGAGATTTCGTTACCTTGACAGGATTCAGGAATCCCCTAAAACCAAATCCAAGAGACTAGCTCATCCTTTCCCAAACGCCATGGATGCTTAGGGAGCTAGTTAGGCCATTATTTAAGATCTATGCTTAATGTTCTTCGCCTCATCTTTCCACCACACGACATGGGTTAGGAGGAAGGGTTGAAGAAAGGGTTTATACCAAACACCATGGATAAACCTCTTTTAGCTTCTCAAGGCCTAGAGATAGCACAAAATGTGTAGATCTATGTTTTCAAAACCCAAGCTTGAACTTTAAACTTCTTAAACATGATCCTCAACCTTGAATCCTCTTTTAGCATTTAAAAATTCAAGGTTATCATTTCCTAGTCATAAAGTTTGCATCTTTAGTTTTAAAAATCATTGTTCTAAGTTGTTAGAACTTTCTCTGTTTATCTGCCTTTAGAGTTCGATTTTTATAAATTAGTAGTCTTGCATTTTAAATTCCTAGAAGTCATCTAGTAGTTGTTTAACCCTTCAGTAGTGATTCTAAAATAGTTTGCGTAGTCATTTGGTTGTTGTATTTAGTTTTTATTGATTTACTCCTCTATTTATCCGATTTCACTTAGATTTACTTAGCTCTTGCATTCTTAATGTTCTTTCATCAACCGGAGCTGGATTGACACCTCTTACACCTATACTACAACTATACAGTGCTTTAGGATCTTTGATTCAAACAGCTTGTAAAATCTTGTTATCACGCTTAAATCCAAAGCTTGGAGCTTATGCAAATCCGCCAAGTCTACGATAAGACAAAAATAGACAGAGTTTGAAAAAATCTTTTTTGTTGTCCTAAATCTCTTTGTCGGTCCATGAAGAGAATGAGAGGGTAAAGAAAAGAATTGCTACCTTTATCTGGCACTGGGCCAATAAGAAAGTTCCCGCTTAGATCCAGCAGTTCTAGATTTCTCAAGTCTTTTAGTTCTGCACAATAGGTGATCACAAAAAAAGAATAATGATCAACATTTTTTATAAAAAAAGAATAAAGATGAACGGAAAATATGTTTTAAAACTGATATTGGGGGTACCTTTCATTGGGAATGGACCTTCCATATAGTTTCCATGAAGAATCAAAGTTTTAAGCGAGGAAGCAGCATTCAGAAATGGTAAAACACTGTTATTGACCATGTTACCCAAATCCAGGATCTCAAGTTTTTTCAATCTCCCAAGACTTTTATAACCTACAAAACAAAAACCAATAAATTTTTTTGAAATTTAAGTAGACGGAAGTTAAGCCACTAGCTTGGAAAACAAAAATGAAACCAAAATTTATACCATGGATATCATCGAACCAGCCTGTACATTCGAAATTATATAAGTTTAGAGTCCTTAATTCTCCAAAAGGATAGAACAATGAAAGATTTAGTAGGGGACGATCGGTGTATGTATCATTCAAGAAGAGGCCAATCACACGACCACTTGACAGATCACACTTGACTCTTTCCCATTCGCAGCAGTCGCTGTTCGTGTCATTAGGCCAATCATACCGCGAGTTGACATAGGCATTGAGCTCTAACAATCCTTTTCTTTCCTTCTCGATGCAACTTTTATATCCATGTCTCTGCAATGATACTACTATGATCCATGTTGTGATGAAAAACTGAGGTATAGAGAAGAACAACATTTTTGTGAGAAAAAAAACCAACAAATAGAGGAAGAGACGACTTTGTAGGTTTATATCCATCCTTAAGTCAATCACTTGGTAAGGATATTGATGACATTATGTGTGGAAAATCAACAGGAACAAATCTTTAGTATCTTCGTTATTTAATTAGATTGTATTCTCCAAGAAGATCTTGAGGAAGACTTTGACTTTTGGTTTAATAGTTCTTTTTTTTGTTTATCGTGGGAGTTTCAAACCTTCGATTCATAATTTTTTCAGTATCTATAATCAACATTTACATATTGAAAAAATGCTCTAAAATGATCAAGAATGATAGAATAATGTGAAATGGATATCCTACTGAGGAAAAATTGTGAAAATTGTTCTTTTTTACGATTTTTATAAATATCAACGTTATTTTGTTATTGACAGACTAACGGCAAACTGAATGCAGACTGAATGCACACTATCGAGTTATTTTAAAAATTATCCCTTATATATTTTGATTTAAACAATAATTGGTTGTCCTAAAATGGGTTTGAACTCAATCATTAAGATATCAAACCTCTTGTACTACTAGTAGGTCAGATTCAATAGTTTAAATGATTAATTAATTATTTTTAGCTGGAGGTCAAAATATAGCATTTCCAAACTATAGAGACTGATGGATTTCATCAATTGGACTTAGAGCATGTGTAATGGAAGAAACTTAATGAAATTTTTAGTTAATATTTAATTATAATTTTCTTGTTAAAAACCTTTGTTAAGATAATTTTATTTTCTATGCTCCAATGGTAGAATCTTATTAGAGGTTCTTAATAATAGAGTATAAAACAGTACTGTGTTCTCTCTTTCTCCCTCCTGTACAAACAAGACCTTAAAATTAAGATCTTTTATCGTGTCTCTTCTCTTTCCACCATTTGTACGAAAACTTTGCTCATTGAGACTCCTGCAATATCTCCCATGCCATTCACACTGAACTGCACCGTTGACCTCACCACGCTCGCCTGTGACTTATCATCCACCATTGTTGCTTTCTCGTCTTTCGCTTGAGCCTGAAGCATGAATTCTAGGTTCCACAACAGATCTCCCATTGTTGGCCTCTCAGTTCCGTTTTGGGCCAAACACATCTCTGTTATCCCGCAGTACTTCTTCATCTCTTCAAGCCTCACTTTCCCTTCAAGAAAAGGGTCTATGCTCTCTTCCAACTTCCCTTTCTTCACCAGTTTCATCGCCCACTCGATCAAGTTCACTTCTTCTCTCGGAAGAGACGGATCAATGACTGGTCTCCCGCATAGTACTTTAAGCATCACAACACCAAAAGAGTATAAAACGTTTAATATTAAGTTAATCCATAATTATGTGACTTCAACAGAGTTAGCCAATGAGCCGAACATCTACACATATCAAAGTATAGTAGCAGAGAAAAAAAGCAGAATCATCTACACAAATCAAAGATTAAAAAAATGACTACAGAAGTATCAAACATTAGGACCATTTCAAATGAGCGTAAGAACTAAAGCACAATGAAAACAGGAAGGAAAATCGAACTTAAAACGGCACTTATGGATGAAGGAGTAAGAGATCGAAAGGTAAATATAGAAAAAAAAAGAACATAAGTTTTAATACCTTTGTTCCCAGTCGCTTGTTCAAGGCTTCATTCCACATATTAGCAGCATTATCAGGCTGCATTTTCCTCTAAACAGTCATGAAAGAGGCAACCTGAAAACAAAACTTCAACAAAAACAAAATTTCAACAACATAAGTCTTCTTGTAGTTAAAACTTAAACTCAAGGCAACACTCTGAAGCTTTGTTACCTTTTCGTTTTCATTCCCTGATTCACTAACCCATAGTTTCCCTTTGGAGTCTCTCAGGAATGACTATCCTATGCCCCGCTCACCCACTTCTCAAGAGTCTCGAAACCACCCCACCGTCCGAGATAGCTAGTAGATCACCAGATTGGATTTGATCAGTTGTAACGTTTGTAACCGATGGTTCAGAACGAGCTTTAAAGTTAACCTGATACAACAAGTACCCCCATAAACGCATCAAACAAAGTCACAAAAGAACATAGCTTAGGATTTATCGATTTATAGAAATAACAGAACTGGCGATTCTTGATAAGAAGCAATAAAGAAACAATGGATTCTCAAAGATTGCTCCACTTTTAAGCCTACCACACAACTACACAAGTTTCTCACGAAAATCGATTAAACCCAAACTTGAGTAAGAATCACGAGTCGTATCCAAAATTGAAGAGGGCCCAAACACAATAACTCCCATAAACATTCAAAAACGAAACACAAATAAGCAACAAAACGATGATCATGCAAACAGCAAACAAAATCGATATTCTCATTCGATTTCCATTTTCACCTTGATGTGAAGTGTGCCTCCGCCGAACTCGCTAGCGGACTTTTTGTGAAACTCCACCCAAGCCCTGTTCTCATAGAAACAAGCACCTTTCCACTTGACGGCATCATTCCCTTCAAGCGCAGCATTTTCTGCTTCTCATATTGTTTATCGGAGAGATTGTGATGAACAGCGGCCGGAATCGCAGAAAGATTAGAGGGAGAGAAAGAGAAGACATCGATTCAAAGCAGATTCAAAGTAGAATCCATTGAATTCATTGAATCACATTAGAGAAGAAGGGCAAATGGTGAGAAAGAGCAGAGATTGATTCTGTAGAAAAAAGTAATTGTTGGATTCTCAATCTCTTTCCAATTAAACATGGACACGTCACAGGTAAAATCCGACTCTTAAAAAGCTTAATGAAGAGTCGATTCTTCTCTTTTTATTTAATTTTCATTTAATTAAATACAATATTATCTTAAGAATCATGCTTAAGATTTAGCGTTGCACATGGTCTTAGTGTAATATTGGCTCGCCAGATATGTTGAATACAAAGATGTATTTAAACATTTGTTTCTAACCCACACAGGTGAAGAGAGCGATGTTGCACCAGTGATCTTGATTTCAAGATACTTTGGGAACAAAATTCACCAACTCGACTTAAACCGATATTTCTATCTAATATCCCTGCAAGAAAAAGGGATGAGCGGAGAGGATTATTAATTTGGATTACTTAAAAAAAATGAATTTAAACCACTCAAACTACGAAATGATATACTATGAATGTTTAGACGAGAGTTAAACGGAACCACCAAATATTTGTGTTTACAACACACACCACGTTACACAGACGCACACACAACAAATAACTTATTAATAGTATGTCTAGAACCCAATAAAAACAGTATAATAAACACTTAACTCTTTAAATTCAGAAACTTTTCAAGATATATTAGTATATCTATCTCGGGTTTTATATCTATCACCTCTTTAGTCTGTTCGCTTTGATCCTAAACCAGGGTATTAACTTGTGAATCTCTACAAATGACTAATCATGATCCATGTTGTGAAGAAAAACTGAGGTATAGGGAACAACAACATTTTTGTGAAAGAAACCAACATAAACAGGAAGAGGCGACTTTGTAGTTTAATAACACATTTTTGTGAAAGAAACCAACATTAGAAGTTTAGAATCCATCCGTAAGTCAATGACTTGGTAAGGATATTGATATGACATTATGTGTGGAAAAGTCAACATGAACAAATCTTTAGTATCTTTGTTAGTTAATTACATTGTATTCTCTAAGGAGATCTTGGCGGAAGACTTTGACTTTTTATTTATGGATTCAAGGGTTTATGTGATTATTTTAGCTGGAGATGCAAAACTGACTCAAAACATTGACTTTCCAAACTAAAATTTTAAGTTCTGCTCAACATATACTTTTACAGTTTTAGCCGTTGGATTTAAAACCATACGAACTTTTGACCTCTTTTGTTTAGATATACAAACTTAATTATAAGACATCTCCTAAGTCCTAACTACATCTACTATTGAAACTCTTCCTAAACCCACTTCTTCGTTATAACCAGATTGGCTTGGCGTGTACAAATATAATTTGTCTGGTTTTCTGCACTGAAACATGTAAATACTGGTAACGACTATAAACTGAACACGCTACAATATATGACTATGTTTGCTCTGTTTATTTCGTAGTGTAATGATAAATTCAGAAATTGGGCTTTACCGCCCATTCTTTTCATCTTCTATATTATTTTCTGGGATTGGCTTCTTTCGGCCTTCTTTAATGGTTCTAAGTAAAAAATTATTATTTTTATTTTTCTTAGAAATGAATGGGATTGGATTATTGGCAAGTGGATTGACATGTGACAAGGCAATGAGACGTATCCCGTGCGAAACTTTTCTTCTTCTCTGGATAAGCATTTGCCACCTCTTTGTCTCTTTTCCTATTACATGTCTTTTTCTTGAAATAAAAGATACACTTAGTGATACAAATTCATATTTTTACAAAAATTATTTTAAATTGTATAACTATTATTCTATATTTCTCCTAACCTAAAAGAGGAATCATTTTGCACTATTCACAAACAAAAAGATACTATAACAATAGGATCAAAGAACTTCGCAAAAAATAATAGAGACAAAGACTATTCCACAAAAAAATGGCGTTAACACTATGTGAGTCTTATGATCAAAAGCTGGTCACAGTTCAGGTGAACCTATTTCTCTAAACGTCATCGTTTCTTTTCCATGTTCAGGTGGCAGAGCTCGTCGCTTTGTCTCTGCAACATCAGTTCATAACAATGATTGTCTTCACAGAGTCAGTCCCATGCCTTGATCTTCATCTGCTTAATTACATATCTTAAAACCTGATTCTAATTTTTATTCAAACTATTCCAAATTTCAATTTACTTGTTGAAGCTGCAACAAACGGGATCGGATCGGTTTCAGCTTGGTGAAGCAAAAGCAATAAGATTATTACCCAGGTGATAGGATAGATTCTTTGTCTTTGTTCTTCAAAGTTGCGTTTTTATAAAGCTAGAATCTTTGCAATATAAAAACTTTACCAATTAGAGGAACCGCTAAAATGGGAATCAAAGAATAAAGACAGAGATTACTGTGTTTTTTTGGGATCGTAGGAGGACGAACATGGTTCAAGAATTGGGAACTAGAGAAGAATTGATGCAAGAAAACAGAGAAGTGGAGACAAGTTATGATTTTTTGGGTGAGATGAGACAGAGATTTCTGAGATTCAAGAGACAAAAGTATCTGTAAGCAAGACACTCAATTTCTAATCCTCTGTCTTTTGCTCTGTTCTTCTCCGATTCACTTTAAATTGATGAATGTAATCCAAAAATTAGACCACAGATAGAAAAGTTTCAAGCTTTGGCCATAGCTCAATCACCAAAGGTGAGCACACTCTAATCGACTCCAAAAACTTGATTATGCGACTGATTAGTAATGAAGTTATTGCGGTTTAAACCAAACTGACAAGGATAAGAAACAGGTTATGGTGATAGGATGTGCAGATTCGAGGGTATGTCCATCTTATGTACTAGGATTTCAACCTGGTGAAGCTTTTACTATCCGAAATGTTGCAAATCTCGTTACCCCTATTCAGGTGCATTCACATTTACTCTGTTTTGTTCTTATAGTTTCTTCATTCAAGAAAACCTCTAAAACACTTTGGATGTTTTCCTCTGTTTTCGAAAGAACGGATCAACAGAAACCAACTCAGCTCTTGAATTTGCAGTCACTACTCTTCAGGTAAGCTTTAACACAGTGAAAAGTCTAGCAAAAGAATGTGGATATAGTAATGTTGTTTTTGGTATAGGTTGAGAACATTATCGTAATGGGTCATAGCAATTGTGGAGGAATCCAAGCGCTTATGAGCCATCAAAACCACAAAGAGAATCAATCTAGGTAGAGATATAAACAAAAAAAAACTAATTCCACATCTCTTCAAACTGTTCTTGATTGTTGCAATAATTTGTGTGTGTGTAGTTTAGTAGAGAGATGGGTAATGAACGGGAAAGCCGCTAAGTTAAGAACACAAGCAGCTTCATCACACTTAAGCTTTGATGAACAATGCAGAGACTGTGAGAAGGTAACTAATTTCCAAACATCTTCACTGTAATAAACTGTCTCTTGTAGCTGAAGCTGATTCTCTATGCGTGTTCTTTGCTCGGGCAGGAATCTATAAAGGATTCTGTGATGAATTTGATAACGTACCCATGGATAAGAGAGAGAGTGAAGAGAGGTGAAGTCAAGATTCATGGATGTTATTACAATTTGTCAGATTGTAGTCTTGAGAAGTGGAGACTCAGTTTAGACAAGAGTAACAATGGATTGTATGTTTCAGACAGAGAGATATGGAGTTAGTAAATATAGAATAACCCTCAGTTCTAATGTTCAGATGTATCATTTGTACATATGATTGCACAAACTGGAAAACAAGAAAAGTAGCATTGTAATAAGGAAATATAATAATAAAATATAAAAGTATTTTTAATACAAAAGTTGAAGTTATTACTTCACAACTTTGATAGAATAAAAACATTTTGTTATTATATGTTTGTTGAAATGATTATAATTTATATGTTGAAATCTCAGCCTAATAATTTTAGATTCAGCTAGCTAAAAAAGTTTATAGTTTACAGAATTAAAAATGTTTAAAGTGAAGTCGAATTCTAATCTCTTTCATACCGATATTCAGATATAGAAACGGTTAAAATTTGAGGGAAACATCTAGACATGTCATATCAAAAATTAATTAAACAATTTGACTCAGAAACTACTATATTCTCAAGAATAAATGTATTTATGATAGAATTACAAAGAGTAAATGAAGATGTTAAACACTGTTTAAAGAGCTTTAAAAACATAATCAAGAGCATGGATAAAAACAGTGTTTTCTATTATCAACTATGCTTGTAACTTTCAACACTATTATTTTTGATTTAGACACTTATCATTCAAAAACACCAAATTTGTCTGTTTTTGCTCTTGTTGATCAGTTCAAACATTGATTCGTATTATTTCTCTTATAAAAGCTTTTAATTGTTAATATTTATATTGGTTTAAGTTTGATTGTAGCTTGAACCATAAGCTATCTTAATCTTATTAAGATATGTATGCCTAAAAGAGTTTAGGATAGGAGAGAATATTCAGGAGTTATCTAGTTATAGTCTCTAATAGGATTAGGAGTAGCTAAACGATTATTTAAGGAATGTCGAACTGTGACATAATCTTAAGAGAGTTTGTGAGATTGAATGCTTAAGTTTTGAGTCAGTTTCTTAAGCTAATAAAAAGAGTCATTCTTTATCAATCTCTGAGTTCTTAGTTTCTTGTTACCAAACTATAATTGGTATCAGAGCTTCAGAAATTTTCAATCAAACATAAGTAAGACATGGGAGACATCATTGCATCAACATCAACAAGACCTAAAGAAGGAGGAGGATGACCTTCATCGATTACTTGTCCTATGCTCAATACAACCAACTACACTGTGTGGGCCATGAGAATGAGGATAACACTCAAGATTCACAAAGTATGAGAGGTCATAGAACAGGAAACGAATCCACCTGATGGCGAGAAGAACAATATGGCTATAGCCTTGTTGTTTCAGTTGATACCTGAGACCCTTATTCTACAAGTAGGAGAACATGATACAGTAAAGAAGGTATGTGAAGCAATTAAGGCGAGACATGTGGGAGCAGAAAGGGTCAAGGAAGCTAGACTACAAACACTAATGGCTGAGTTCGATCGGCTTATGATGAAAGACACGGACAAGATAGATGACTTCGCTAGGAAGTTATCTGAGATTTCATCAAAATCCGCTGCTTTAGGAGAAGTCATTGAAGAGCCAAAATTAGTTAAAAACCTCCTCAAGAGCCTCCCTCGACAGAAGTACATACACATCGTGGCTTCACTTGAGCAATTGTTAAACCTTTAACTCCACAAGTTTCGAAGATATAGTGGGACGACGAAAGACCTATAAAGAATGTATTTTCGAGGAAGTAAATACATAAGAAGATCAAAGCAAACTTATGTATCTATCCAAACAAACAAATCAACCAAATCGGGACTATCAATCAAGCCATGACTTCAATGGAGAAAACAGAGGCAGAGGTCGAGGAGGACATAACAGAGGCAGAGGTCGAGGAGGACATAACAGAGGCAGAGGTCGAGGAGGACGTAATGGTGGAAATGAGGTGATGTGTTATCGATGTGACAAGATGGGCCATTACGCCTCTGTTTGTCCTGATCGATTACTCAAGCTACAAGAAGCTCAAGAAGATGATACTAATGATACACAAGAGTCGGATGAACTCATGATGCATGAGGTGGTCTATCTGAATGAGAAGAAAGTTATTCCAAGCAAATATGAGAATAATAAAAATGAAGAGAATGTATGGTACCTCGACAACAGAGCTAGTAACCATATGACAGGAGATCGACGGTACTTTGACAAAATAGACGACTATGTTACTGGAAAAGTGAGGTTCGGGGACGACTCACGAATAAACATAAAAGGGAAGGGTTCAATCTATTTTATTAATATGTAAAGGCAAGCCAAGAATAATGATTGATGTTTACTACATACAGGATATAAAGAGCAATATTATCAGCCTAGGTCAAGCCACAGAATCAGGGTGTGATATAAGATTGAGAGGAGGATATCTGACAATGCATGATCAGGATGGAAAACTACTTGTCGAAGCTGAGAGATCAAGGAACAGACTGTACAAAGTACACATAGGACTAAGAGACATGACACGTTTACATCTAACGGAAGCAAGCGAATCAAGTAGATGGCATGCAAGGCTAGGACATATAAATCTTGAAACAATAAGGAGTATGATTGAAAGAGAGCTTGTCCAAGGAGTCCCGCACATCATTTTTCAAAAGGAGATATGCGGTTCATGTTTACTTGGAAAGCAAACAAGGCAAGTTTTTCCTCAAGCCACTCTATACCGAGCAACTGAGATACTTGAACTCATACATAGACATCTCTGCGGTCATATAACGCCAAGTACGGTCGGTGGAAACAAGTATATCTTTGTCCTCATAGATGATCACTCTCGATATATATGGATAATTTTGCTGAAAGAGAAGAGACAGGCCTTTTGGGAGGAGCCCAAAGATAAATTCGTGCGGGCTTCGCCACCTAAGTCCAAAGCGGACAATATCATACTAATTAGGGAGTTGGACATGGATTAAAAAAGCCCAACACTTGGTAGCAGAGTATACAAACTTTTAGAACAGACAGAGGCGGAGAGTTTGTATCACAAGAGTTCAATACATTTTGTAATGAATCAGGTATAAAACAGCATCTAACTGCTCCCTATACCCTGCAACAGAATGGCGTGGTTGAAAGACGAAACAGGACACTAATGGAGATGGCAAGAAGTATTTTGAAGCATATGCATATGCCAAACTACTTATTGGGAGAGGCAATACGACATTCTACATATCTTTTGAACAGGATAACAACTAGAGCTCTCAAGGACCGGACTCCGTATGAAGTTTTCCGAGGGAAGAAACCATAAATTGATCATCTGCGAATTTTTGGTTGCATTGGCTTCACGAAGATAGACAAACCACATCTGAGAAAGCTAGACGATAGATCACGGATGCTTGTCAATCTGGGAACTGAACCATGGTCAAAGGCATATCGAATGTTCGATCCAAAAACCCGGAAGATAGTGGTGAGTAGAGATGTTGTGTTTGATGAAACAAAAGGCTGGAACTGGAATCACAACAACAAGGAGGAAGATAGAAACGAAAACTTTACCTTTACAGTTCACGAGTTTGGAAATAGAGACGCTGCAAAGGATAATCTTCTAATGGAGAAAATTGCTACAGATCAAAGCAAAAGAGCAGATTAAGAAGACAATAATGGGAACCACGTTCTTGTACAGGAACATGACGTTGAAGCTACAGATGCGGAGGAACAGTCTACACCCTCACCTGCGAAGACTACACCCTCACCCGCGAAGAAAAAAACAGAGCGGAAAACAGAGCACATCAATAACAGAGGCACATATTCAGCCTCCAGCCTTGAGAAGAACATAGATAGAAAGTACGCTGCCAAGCTATCTTGATGATGATTTTTTACTTGTTGAAGATTATGTTTTACTTGCTGAAGAAGAAGGAGAGATATTATTGTTGTGTTTAAACAACGAGCCAAGAAATTTCGCTGAAGCAAAGGAATCAAAGGAGTGGACACTTGCATGTGAGGATGAAATATTCTCTATCGAGAAAAACCATACATGGAACCTCGTGGAGTTTTTGATTGGAGCGAAACCAATTGGTTTGAATTCGGTATTCAAGCTTAAGCGAAATTCAGATGGTAGTATAAACAAACACAAGGCTCGACTAGTTGCGAAGGGATATGTACAGCGATATGCAGTAGATTTCGATGAAGTTTTTGCTCCAGTGGCTCGTATAGAGAATATAAGACTCCTTATTAATCTTGCAGCATCGAATGGTTGGGAAATACATCATCTTGATGTAAAAACAGGGTTCTTACATAGAGAGTTAAAAGAAATTGTTTATGTCTCTCAACCGGAGGTTTCGAAGTAAAAGGGCAAGAAAACAAAGTCTACAAACTAAAGAAAGCATTATACGGGATAAGACAAGCACTGAGAGCCTGGAATAATAAGTTAAATCAGATACTCATGGATCTTCAGTTTAAATAGTGTTCAAAGGAACCTTCAGTTTATCGAAAGGAGGTGAGAGAGCAGCTACTCGTGGTGGTGGTTTATGTTGATGATTTATTTGTCACAAGGAAAAATATACACACTTTCGATGAGTTCAAAACTGAGATGTCTTCTAAGTTCGAGATGAGTAATCTTGGTAGATTGACATAATATCTCGGAATCAATGTATGCCAATACAGGAGGAATAATACTAAATCAAAATCGCTATGCAAATAAAATCTTGGAAGAAGCTTGGATGAAAGACTGCAATCCCGTTTACATTCCAATGGAGTCCGGGTTAAAGTTGTCAAAGGCAGAAGAAGAAGCGGAGATCAATGCTACGTGGTATAGAAAAAATGTTGGCTGCCTCCGCTACTTACTTCATACGAGACCCGATTTATCCTATTTTATCGGAGTGCTAAGCAGGTATATGCAGAGTCCAAGAACATCTCATGGAGTCGCCATGAAACAATGTCTGAGGTACTTGCGAGGAACCACCACTCTCGGATTGACATTCAAGCGGTCATCTTTAGAGACATTGAGGTTGCTAGGCTACAGCGATTCCAGCCACAATGTTGATCCAGACGATGGGAAAAGCACAACATGACACATTTTCTATTTCGGTAAAAGTCCTATTACGTGGTGTTCACAAAAAAAAAAAGACATTGTGCCTTTATC